TAAATGAAAAAAAAAAAAAAACACAAAAAAGGGGGAGGGGGTGAAAGGTCAAAAGGTTCAACTTTTAAAAAAATTGTTTTTTTTTTTTTCTATTGAATTTTTTAAATGTTATCATTAATTATCACGAACGCTTATCAATTTTGATAACACTGATAAAAACAAATTTATTGGAAAAAAAATAATAATAATTTATTTATATTTTATTACGATTTAAATCCTTACGAATAGCAGACGATAAAATTTTTTTTTTTTTTGTTTCAATAACATGTCATACGTAGGGATTACACGCACGTACTTACGCACTCAGGTACGCACAAACGCACTCGTACGCACTTGAAAATTTTCCCTGTTGTGAATGTAGTAAAAGATGTAAATAAATCACCATTAGACAATTTTTATACTTTTTTTAATATTAATATATATATATATATATTATAGTTTTATACTTTGATATATTTATTTATATATAATATATAATATATAATAATAATAATAAAATTTATTTAAATAAATAAAACACTTTGTCAACGTTCAATATATTTAATTGGAGTCATAAATAAAAAAAAAAATACGATTGTTCTTTTACCACTTTTTTTTTCATCATCAATTATGGCAATCTTTTTTCATTCTCTCTTTCTCTCTCTTTTTTTTCTTTTCTTTCTTTTAATAGCTAAAACCACTTATTTAATTGTTTTGTCTTTTTCTATTTCCATTTTTTTTTACCCTCTCCCCTTTTTTGACATTTTAAAAAGTTTTTATTTTAAAAAAAAAATATTTTTTTTTTTTTTTGGGTGAAAGACACGTTTTTCTTTATTTTTTATTAAAATTTTTTGTGTCGTTAATAAATAAATAATCGATAAATAAATCGATTAATTAATTAATTAATTTTTTGCGTGGGAGTAAGTCGTGTCGGAATTAAAAAAAAAATTTTTTTTGATTTTTTATATTCGGGTCACTAAATCTCATCTTAATGAGTTTTATTAAGTAGTTTAAAAAAAAACCAAAAACTTTTTTGTTTGTTATCGTTTGTCTCAGAAAGTGAGAGAGAGAGAGGGGGGGAGGAGTAGGGGGAGGGAGAGGGAGAAAGAAATCGGAATTTTTTTTTTTTTAAAGGTACAACGTGCGAAATTTATGCAATTTAAAAGAAAATTATTTTATTTTTTTTGCATTGTTTAGTCCCCGCGGGTTCAACAAGCGGAAAAAATTTTTATAGATAATTTTATGGACTGTAACTGTGGGTAGTGACGTTTTAACGATTATTTAACTACATATAGTTAGCAGGAGGTAACCCAGGGCAGTGCCAGTAAAACGGTTGGTTTTTTTTTTTTTTTTTTATTGCTTTTAAATTGAATTCAAACGATTAGCTAACAACCATAAAGATTTTCACAAAAGATTATTTGAATGAAAAAAAAAAAAAAATTTTTTTTAATTGTTTTTTTTTTTATTTTTGTTACAAAAAAAAAATTATTTTTAATGTCGTTAATGCGTGAGTGTTGTGAGTATTTATAAATTTCCCCCCCCCCTCTTTCTCTCTCTCCTTCGTTCAATTTCTCTGTGGAAAACAGAGAAAAAGCCTTTATTTAAACGTTGTTTCGAACTCTTCGACCTTTTTCTATATAAATCAAATGATTTACAATCACTCCTACCGCAGAAGCATTTTGAAATCATTTGCAGATTGGAATCGGGAGTTTTTTTTTTTTTTTTTTAAATATTTTTACACATTATTATTATTATTATTTTTGTTTAGGTTAATAATTTCAATTTTTTTTTTTTAAAAAAAAAGGTATATCGATTAAATTTTTTTGTATTTTAAATTTTAAAAAACGTCGTGTGACGTCAACGATTCATCAATTTAATTTTTAAAAAAAAAAAAAAAAAAGGTTTTGTGCCGAGTTTTCGGTTTTTATTTTTGTCAATATTCTCACGTTTTTTTTTATAAATGTGAATATCCCATTAAATATTTGAAGCAATAACGACAAAAAATATGAGGTATATATATATATAATATTAAAGGGAGAGAGAGAGAGAGAGAGAAAGGCATGTTGTGCACATTGATGGCCGGGAGGCTGTGATAAGAGATTCCTGCTGCTACAGACATCATCCATCTATATCAATCCTCCCTTCGTTTCCCTTTCTTATATCTTTTTCTTCTTCTTCTTCTTCTATTTTATTTCTATCTTTTTTTTTTTTTTTTGCTTCTTTCATATCTCCCTTTTTTTTTGCTCTTTTTATGTCTCTTTTTTTTTCGAACATGAATCTTTCTTAACAATTTAAAGTTAAATTTTATCACGATGAGAAACGCTACGTAATTTAAATAAAATTATTAACTACTTGATAGAGTAAATTAAAAAAAAAATTAGTAAATATTGTTTACATATTTTTTGTTTAACGTATGATTACTTCACAATTTACCCGAACGTAGCCGAACGTACCCGAAAGGATATTTTTTCGTTATTTTTTCATAACGTATTTTCTTTCGAAATAAAAAAAAAAATTTCCCCGTTGTAAAATAAGGAATTTTCTCTCTCTCTCACTCTCTCATTCTCTTTTCTTTTTTTTTTGAAATATACAATAAAAATTCAACTCAGGAGGAAAAAGAAAAAAAATTGCGTGTGGAATAATAGAAGAAGAAGAAGAAAAAAAAATGATGAAGAAAAAAGAATTTAAAAGAAGGGAATAAATCTTAAAATGTAATTATTTTAGCGAACGGGGAAAATTGAGGATTCGCGTGGTGAAAAAAGATTTTCAGAGAAAAAAAGAACAAAAAAAAAAAAAAACGTTTTATTAATAAATATAAAAAAAAAGAAAGGAAGAAGAGAAAAAAAATTACGAGTTAAAACGAAAAGAAAAGAAAAAAAAAAAGTCCAAAATAATAAAAAAAAAACGGGGAAAAAATTGCGGGAAAATTTTTTTTTTGTATTTAATTATTTTAAATTAACTTAAAGCGTGGAAAAAAAAAAATTATATTTCGGCTGATGGAAATGAGTGGGTGTTTTTTAGGGGGTGGAAAGAAGGGGGGAGGATGGATGGAAAAACTCGAAAAGACTCCATTTTTTGATTTTATTACGTAAAATTCAATTCGTAAAAATTTTTAATTTGAAATTTTTCTTTTTTTTTTGTTTAAATTTCAAACTCTTCGATATACATTTTTATATATTTTACATAAACATAAAATTTTTTTAATAACTAATAATTTCCAATAAACCGTATAAAATAATTTTATCCAGTGACTGACTGGAAAAAAAAAACGTAACAAATCAATAATTTCATATTAGGAAAAAAAAAAAAAAATTGGCATTTTAAAAAATATTTTTCATTTAAATATTATTTACCCTAAGGTTTATAAAAATTATACTAAAAACGTTTATTATAATTTAAAAAAAAAAAAAATTTCATTTAAAAATAACAAACAACAACAACAACAAACAATTCACGCGGTTAAAAAAATATAAAATTATAAAATCAAATTATCAACCATCGCTTTGTTTAAAAAAAAAAAACTCCAATAAGTATAAATATATAATTTAAAAAAAAAAAAAAAGAAAATTTAAACTTATAATTTAAAAATGACGACGATAAGATGAAGTGGAAGAAGAAAAAAGAAAAAAGAAAAAGAATAAGAAAAAAAAGAAGGTTATTTCAATAATTGATAAAATGCCTCAAGACAAAATATGTAGAACCATAAAAAAAAAAAAAAATTAAGTTAAAGAGAAACAAAGAAGAAAATAATAATAATATTTGAATACTTATATCATACATGCGTATGTTTTGCGTTCTTATTGAGATCGTATCAAACTAAACGCACGCACTCACGCACGCACACACGTACGCAAAGAGCTTTCGATGATGGATTATTAAAAAAATTTTCGTTTCATTTGCCGCCACGAAACAAAAAAGAAATTAATTTTTTTTTTTTTAAGTAAACGCGATAGCCGCGAATAGAAACGGATTGGATATATAATTATAGATTAAAAAAGTATAAGGTTTACCACCACCCTTGGCACCTCGCCTCAACTCTTTTTTTTTACCTGTCCATATTTAAGAAGAAAGAACCAATTAACCGGTTGGATGAACTCAAAAACAACACGAAAACCCGGTAAAACAATTCGTGTATTTAAATTCTAAAAACCCACCCCCCCACCTCTTAACCCTCCTTAAAAAAAAATTTAATTAATGTAATTAACCTGTGCGGAAATATCGCGTCCGCCATGTTTAAATAATAATTGAGTTATAATTTGTTTTTTTTTTTTTGTCGATCGTAGAACAATTTAAAAAAAAAAATTGTTTGTATCTGTTTGTTTTGTTTCAAATGATAACAGTGAGACAGGTGTTAAGTAATAAAATATTTTTTTTTTTATTTACGACAAATTTTTTAAAGTCTGGTTGGAAGTATTGTCGAGAATAAAAATTTACCGTTTCCGGTGTGGAAAAAATGTAATTACGAGTTATCGATTTAAGACGTTTTTCCCATTTTTTTTAAAATGTAATTTCATTTTAAAATTTTTCGAAAAAATAAATAAATATTTGTAATTGATCGTTTGTTAAATTATCGTAGAGTATATAAAATGGTGGGAAAAATTAATTTTAAAAAAAACTTTTTATTCGGGTTTTTTTTTTTTATCCTCGGGTTTCCAGTTAATCGTATTAAAATGTAAAGAAAATTTTCTCATCGTTTTATTCTTTTGTTTGATAAAATGCGCGTGTGTGCGTGCGTGTGAATTTTACATTTAAACCTTTTTTCCTTTTATTTTGTATTCCTTTTTTAAAATTTTCCTTTTTTTCTTCCCCCTCCACCCTTTTTTTTTAGTTTTAAAACAAAACATAATCGTGTGTAAGGTTCGAATAAAAATAAAAAAAGTTTTTTTTTATTTATTTTTTATTTAAAAAAGAAACTAAAGAAAAAAGGAAAAAAGGAAAAAAAGGAAAAAAAAGAAAAAAAAGAGAAAAAGAAGAAAAGAAAAAAAGAAAAAAAAACGGTTTGAAATGAATAATTAAAAATCAGGGACGGAGTGAGATTTTTAAATTAATCAAATCTAATTCGAAGACACGAATAAAAAAAATTATTATTTATTTTATTATTATTATTATCATCATCATCATCATCATTATCATCATCTTCGTCATCATTATTATTATTATTATTTAAAAAGCCATTAACGTTTTTAATTAATTTTTTTTTTGGTGTGTTAAGGCACAAATTCAAAAAAAACCTGAAATATCAAACAAAAAAAAAAATTTTCCTTTCATTTTCTATTGTCATTCACGTGTGTTATTATTATCATTATCATTATTATTATGAAAAATTAAATAACGTGTAAGCAGAATTAAAAAAAAAAAAAAAATGATTAAAATATAATTTTTTTACGTATAAATACCTAAAACGATTTAATAATAGGTTTTCTTTTTTTTTTTTGTTTAACTTGCCGTTACGCAAGTCTGACGTGGCAGTAGTACCTGTTTAATATTCAATTTTTTTCAAAAAAAACCTAAAAAAACGTTTCGTTAAATTTATTATTATTATTATTATTAAATTCGTCCGTGAGAAATATAATTTTTGGAGTAAATTTTTATAAAAAAAAATAATGATAATAATAAGGATAAATTTTTCAAAAAAAAAAAAAAAATGCGGGAAAAAAAGGTATAAAAAGGAACGGAATAAATAAAGGGAAAGGAAAAAAAACAAAATGATAATAATAATATAAACAAATAAAACGTGTCGTGTCGGTAGAGATAGAGATAGATAGAGAGCGAGAGAAAAAAAAAAAAAAAAACACAAATGTGATAATGACAAAACCACTTGTACAATTATTTTTCATTGTGATTCTACAATAAAATGCATCTCTTGGGCATTAGTGACCCGACCATCGGGGAAGGAGACAAAAAATAAAAAATAAAATAAAATAAAGAAAAAAATAAAAATTATATGTCTTTTACATAACAACCCTTTTACAACTTTTTCAGCAGAGACTGAATTTAAAATTTAAGTTTTTTGTTTTTTTTTATTTTATTTCGTGGGGAGTCACCATCACCATCACCATCACCATCGCTATCATCATCATTATCATCATCATCATCATCGTCGTCGTCGTCGTGAATCCTTTTTTAATCCCCAAGAGAATAAAGGCCTTAATTTTAAATATTCAAATTTTATTTTTAAATCATAATTAGTCAATTTCAAATTTTAACGAGTCGTGGTACGAAATTAAAAAAAAAAAAATTTTTTTTTCTTTTTTGGGGGTAAGGAATGAAAGA